AAGCGTTTGGCCTAGTAGATTGTATATCAGTATACCCTTCCAGGCTCTGAAGAAGGCGATACTGCCGAAACGTCGGCTAGCGTTGTATTGTATTGTGCTTCTCTATGGAAGTAAATGTATGGTATTTGAAAACCTCGCGATTGCTGAACAATAAAACGACACATTCATATTCCAGTGCCGAGCTTAATAGAAGGTCGATCCTGGAAATTTTTGCCCTTGTTTATTACTACTTGTTCTTTTTTTCATGGCAGGGTATTATGTGAAATACAGCCATATGAATGCTTAGATATCAGCAGAACTCGGAATTTCAAGTTCACTTCGAATTTGTGATTAGCCTTCCCGAAAATGAATGTGTCGTCCACTGCATCAACCGAGGCCATTGCTTTGCTCTTCTTTCGACCACTTTCGACCTAACGGTGCTATCAAATCAGCCTTATCAAATATTTGTTTAAGACAGATTGTTTACCTGTTAATGCTCTCGGCGTTGATCAATCCCTGCTTGTTGCGCCATGCGTTCGATTTCATTAAGCATTATTTGGAGGTCATTGAATGTATATCTGGCCTTTACAATGACCTGCAGTGGCCTGTCGGTGTACGGACCCAGTGCTGCTATCCTCCTAGATAAGCCTGGTACCAATTTTCCGAACCCGGAAGGACGGGAAGCTTGGTGGGGGTCATGTGCGCGGGGATCAATTCCACATGTGTGTTGCAGAGCGCTTCCGACCACTGCGCCACACGCGCCCTTTATTTATCTATTACAACTGGAAATTTTATTGAAACCATTTCATTTGTTGAGTTTTAATAGGCTATGACAGTTTCAACTGATAAAATGCAGGCGAAAAGTTACTGAAAGATTTATTCGTTTCGAGTACATCATAACATGCTAAAAATTGATTTCATGACCCTACAAAGGGAAAGCGACAGAAACCGATATATAAAAGATGTTGCCTATTTTTTGTTACTTGTCTACATAGCTAATTGTTTTTGAGCTAATTATTACATTTAAATGGCCTCATGTAATTTTCAAAGCAACGTCATGCCTGAAAACGAATGACGTTGCTATTGAGGCGCATCAAACGTGCAACTGTAGCGAATTTCGCCTTGTACCGCCCCTTTTTCTGTGCCACATGTTAAAAGAGCCCTCCCGCATACTAGCGATCGCAAAAAAAAGCAAGAGGATGCTCTCAACTACGAAATTAACTGTATCTGATGAATGTCTATGCATATCATGTCTGCTAGTAACCCTTACTGATGCATTCCACCATACACATAGTGCAAACGACGTTGTACATTTTCTGTTAACGTCTTCATGTGTTTTGCTGGATAGTCAGTCATTGAAAACTCTCCAAACTCCTCAAAATACGGCAGCCAAAGCTTCTCCCAGTTACCAGAATGAATATCTCGATAGTGCCTAAACAAGCGATTTGACAACCAAATCATACATCCTCGTAAGAAGTGCTGAATATTTAAGAGGAGCACATTCTAGGTTATCGACAGGGAATTTATTTTTGCCAAAATCCATAGAAAGGGCTTATTATTCACAACGTATTTTTAATCAAGAGCACAGTCAGCATTGTTGTAGAAGGAGCTTTATTTTTAGGAAACCACTTACTTAAGGCGCGGGTAATCAAAAGCAAAATTTCCCGCTTGTGTTCAAAGCCCAACAAATTGTTCGCTCATTTGATCATCATCAGATTCACTTTTTTCATTGTGAGATGACCAGTTCATAATGAAATGAATAGATTTAAGTCATCACCTAACAACCGCTTCATTGGGCTCCATGTAATACCTCCCATAGCCATCGAAGAACAATTCGATAGCGTGTACATTTGCAATTACGACCTGAAAGATAATCGCAGCAACCACTTTGGAAGGGGTACTATTGAGCTTTATTCTTGACAAGTTTTATTCCCACTTTTTCCGATGCAACGGTGGCACCGTTTTCATTCTTCCAACAACGAAATTAATCACTATTCTTCGGAATATTCGAGAAAAGAGATATTGGGAATACCTTCTTTGGGTCAACGATGTACCTTGCAGTGTTTCCGCGTGGCAAAACCTTCGATGTGTTGTGATATCTCCAGGTTGGCATCAATTCAGCAACCTTGAATATTGTACAGATATGGGTATGTATATGCATATATACACATATATGTTCCATTCGATATAGGACTAATACTATGGTAACCGTGGGTGGCAGCGCAAGTGGACAATATGGACACTTTGGAGTCCATTTCCGGTTAGATGAGCTTCAGAAAACTTTTAAAAATATTCCTATGTACATTCATTTATTAATTAATATTTAATAGCTAACCGAAAGCAGATTAAAATAGGAGAGCTGAGACTAAAAAGGCGTTCTCAACAATTAACCATTTTTAAAAAAAAGAACTGTTCTCTGATCGATTACTTGACCGAAAACCAGTTACATTCAACTGTTACCTTCACTTTTATTTAATATCTATTCTTCTTTCATAGCAGGGTACTGTGCGAAATTCAGCCATACATCCAGAGGGATGCTGAAGTATGATCAAAACTGGAAACAACCTCAGGTGGGTTTCGACTCCGCGATTACCTTTATAGGGAGGTTAATGGGTTCAATATCTATTTGTATTTCTCAGAACATTACCGCTGATACGTGATGATTGTTCATAGCATTGACAGAGTAAAAATTGGCCGAGAGAAAGGCAAGGAAAGGTCCTCGGTTAGCGTGGTGGATACCACGCGAGACCCCGTAACGGTAATCGCGGATTCGAAGCCCACCTACGGTTCCGGGTCTCCCCATATTTCAACATGCTTCTAATTAATTGTTGCTTCATTTCTATAGTTATTATGTAAAATAGTCAAATGTAAAAATACCAAAATAGACTTAAAATAGGTTGCATAACCTTTCTGAGTATTGACAGCAACCTCTTTGCACAATGGACCACAGTAACACATAGTAAATACTACCACACATAAAATTCAAACCAATAAAACAGAGCAAAATCCCTTTTGCAGTACTCTGATGTTATGAACTCCTCATATCTTCTAGTTATCGAAAAATTACTGTTTACTGTGAACTTATTGTCAAAAGCAGCATCTAGGAACGGGTTGCTCTAGGTCGGGTTCTCATTTATCTACCAGTTATATTGAGATTTTTTTTTGAGAACATGCTCGTCGTAGCCCACCCGTTTCGTTTTTCTCGAACGATGACAGGAGTTCTTTTCAAGCTTATTGCTGAATTGGGTCTTCGCACAGACAAGGCGGTAATCACATCCATTAGGGAATCCAAGTGTCACTGTGTGTCAAATAGGTAGTATTTTCTGTTGCTGTGAATACTGTCGACCTTCGCAGGAGAAATTAAGAGACTGCAGTGTCCATCACTGATTTTTTTCTCCGCTGATAAAACCATTTGCCATAAAATAGAAATGCTGCGGACCGAAGTTCTATAAGACTTTTTCCTTCTTCATTTCTTTCTTCTATTCCTTTTTCCTTCATTTCACACTCATTTTTACTCACCGTTCCTAATCTGGAGCTGAAGTCCTTAACAAGAAATTTGTATAACTTACCTCTATAGATTCCTTCCTCCAAATGCTTGTAAAACGCAGCCATTTCGCTTTCATCAGCTGTACAATGTGGTGAGTAACAGCTGATAATACTGACTTTCATCTGAAGCACAAGTTGAAGACGCAGAATGGTCAAGTGCTGTGACAGAACTCCGTATGAGATTTCGAAGCCATTTGCCAAACACTTCAAACTTGTGTCGAACTTGCCTCAGTTCCTCGAAAGAAAAAGTTCACACCGCTTCCCCATTTCCGTTGAAGAAATGCTCAAGAAGACATTAAAGCTTCATCCTACTACTAAACACGTAACACGACAGATAATAAATGCCAGCTGTAGAAGAATTTTGCGGATGCATTTATTTCGGCATAGGAAGAAAAAGTAACTGGAAGAAACTCAAAAACGATCCATTCTGAAGAAGTGTCGTCGCGATCTTTGCGGATATAATGCTCCGCTCTCTTCTCTGAAGATAGGAGAAGGAACTATCACTACGATATGGAATTGATAACGAAAATGTTTTATGAATGCGTCGTTTTTTGTTCAGCAATCGCGAGGTTTTAAAATAGCATACATTTACTTTCATAGGGAAACACAGAACAATAGAACACTAGCTGAAGTTTCGGCAGAATTGCCTTCTTCAAAGTTTGGAAGGGTATGCTGATGTACAATCTACTAGGCCAAACGCTTCAATAATACAAAAAGACGAAAAAACTCTCTGGTAATTACATAAAACTTTTCAGAAAACTCACCGCTTTTTCGTGACTTCCAATGAGAAAGTTTAGAACAGCTGATTATAGTTGCATGTGCTTGATGACTGCACCGTGCCACATCAGAAATTGATGCGAACATACGGGGTCAGGTCGCGTATAACCTCCGGACATTCATCCCTGCTATTCATTGTAGGGTTTTTGGCAGTTATCCAAAAAGCCTCAAGGAGTTTTCGCGCTGGTGTTTTGGACTCCTGTGCAAGGATATTGGCTTTTACTTCAAAATCGTCTCCGCTATGCTTTTGTATCCTATGCGTGCCTAGTGAGGTACTTTGTCTTAGTTTTCGTTTGCCATCTAGGTGTTCTTTTATACGGATGCACGAAGACCTGCCCGTCTCGCCAATATATTCATCTCTGCAATTATTACAAGAGACCAGGTATATCGTACCTGAACTCATGCAATCACCGTCCCTGCCGTAAGGGCAAATTACGCAATTTGTTGTTTCACACAGACGGTCATACAGGCGGTTACGAACTAACTGACGACGTAGAGTATCCGGTGGTATTTCAAATATCGCTACCGATTCCTCTACAGCTGCCCTTCTTAAGCATTGCTTTATCGCTACACTTATTTCATCGCTAATGAAGGGCAAGATAAACGGGATTTTGTTCCGGCCAAATCCTTCGTTTTGGAGCGTCGTTCTCCTTCTTAACTTATCTCTTGGGGTTACTATTTCGTAACCATTGGAGATGGCTATTTGCCGAGCCAAGTCGCGCGATTCTTCCTTTAGTTCCCTGGTAGTGCCCACAGAGGCGGTTGTTCGAAACATGTTGCTCACAAGCGCCCTCTTTGTGTGTGAAGGGTGGGAAGAAAGGAAATGGACAAGAATGTTCTTGTTACTTGGCTTTCGATACCACTTTGTCAGGTAACCGCTACTTGATAGGTTTATTTGGACGTCCAAAAACGGAAGCCAGTTTTCTCTCGGTTTCTCCCGGGTGAACTTTATGTACTCGGGCTGGTCGCTCAATAATTCAAAGCATTTGTCCATCTCCTCCTGCATAGAGAAGACGACAAAACAATCATCTACATAGCTGCAGTAGAGTAGTGGCCGGAGAGAACAGGGGCTTCTGTCTTAGATATAAACACAATGGCAAGGGTTGGTGCCTTTTCGATAGAGTTTTTCGTCTTTTTGTAAGTGTTATTGAAGCGTTTGGTCTAGTAGATTGTATATCAGTATACCCTTCCAGGCTCTGAAGAAGGCGATACTGCCGGAACGTCAGCTAGCGTTGTACTGTATTGTGTTTCTCTATGGAAGTAAATGTATGGTGTTTGAAAACCTCGCGATTGCTGAACAAGAAGACGACGCGTTCATATTCCAATGCCGAGGTTAATAGAAAGTCGATCGTGGGAAAAAGTTTCATGCCGGTCTTTTCTGTTCCACAATCCCTGTCTCGGACGCTGAAATTCCCGATAATGGAAAACCTCCCGTCATTGCAGCCCGTGATGTTCAAGCGACAGTAGAAAGCGTGAACAGAAGTACACCTCCAAACTCGGTAATATAGCCGTCGATGTCTTTAGACCACGTGGCCAAAAATTACATGTACTTCCCCTAGCCAATTCTAACTTCAGAAAGAGGAAATCCCAAACTAGTGGAGGACTTCGCGCGGTTGTCCTACCCAAAAAGGGCAACCGGAGGGATCTTCGTAACTATTATCCAACATACTCGCTGAGTGTTCACCATAGGCATAAGCGTAATGTGCCTCTTCCATCAGCACATAGGTAAACCTTTTGTGCACATCGAACCCTTTGAATAACGCGCACCCAGTTGAACAAACAGGATTCCGATAGGTATTCAGCCCTGCACGGACAACATCTAAACAGTATCACTGATCACAGAAGTCCGTCGGTAGTATTGCCCTAACTGTTGTCAACTAAGAGAAAGTGTTTAAGAGCGTCGAAACAATTGCAATGCTATCAGCGCTTTTTGGCCAAGGAGTGGATTCGTCCTATAAGCGAACACTAGCAGATTTCTTTCTACTTCTGTTCAACAAACACGAGGTGCTATTTTATTTCTTTATTTACGTACAAGCTGACGTCTCGACGGATTTCTCCTTCCTCAGAGGCTGGAAAGGTCAAGTTGACAGCAAGCTATTCGGTTAAACACCTCCGTAACCAAACAGAGAAAACGCTAAACCAAGATTTCAATCACATTTAACACAGCTCTATACACTCACCGCTTTCTATGAGTCTTCCACTGAGTTGAGAAGACCGACCGCGCAGAATTCACGTGGAAGCGTAATGTGCCTCTTCCATCAGAATAACAGGTTTATATACTGTCCAATATCACGCGTGATAATGAGGCGTTCCTCCCTACGGTTCATTTTCGGATTCTTGGAATTAATCCAGAATGTCTCTAGAGTTTTGCGCGCTTGTGTTCTCGAATCTTGCGTGAGCATCGTAACCCCTACCCTTACCCTTACCCGTTACCCTTATTATACTGCACTTCACTTCAAATGAAGTAAGTGCAGCTATAAAAAGCCGTTTAGGAAGGGCAAGTTTAGAGAATTCGGTAACGATAATCGAAATACCACCGAGTAATCTAAGACGCCAGCTAGTTCGTAACCGCCTATACGACGGTCTATGTGCAACGCAAAATTGCATAATTTGCCCCAATGGTAGAGACGGTGACTGCTTGAGTTCGAGTACAGTCTATCTGATCTCTTGTAAATCGTGCGGGGACGAATACGTTGGCGAAACGGGTGGACCACTCTGCGTACGTATAAAAGAACACCTAGTCGGCAAACGTAAACCAAATACTCCACTAGGCACGCATAAGATGCAGAGACATAACGGAGAAGATTTTGAAGTAAGGGTTACGATCCTCGCGCAAGAATCGAGAACACAAGCGCGCAAAACTCTAGAGACATTTTGGATTAATTCCAGGAATCCGAAAATGAACCACCAGAAGGAATGCCTCATTATCATGCGCGTTATTGGACAGCGTATAAACTTGTTATTCTGATGGGAGGGGCGCATTACGCTTCCATGTGAATTCTGTGCGGTCGGTCTTCACAAGACATACTCAGTGGAAGACTCATAGAAAGCGGTGAGTGTACAGAGCTGTGTTAAATGTGATTGAAATCTTGGTTTAGCGCTTTCTCTGTTTGGTTATGGAGGTATTTGGCCGAATAGGTTGTTGTCAACTCGACCTTTCCAGGCTCTGAGGAAGGCGAAATTCGCTGAAACGTCAGGCTTGTACGTAAATAAAGGAATTAAATAGCCCCTCGTGTTTCCTGAACAGAGGTAGAAAGAATTATTCAATCAATGCCGAGGTCAATAGAAAGTCGGACTTAGGAGTTGCTAGCGGATTTGTTAGAAATGCAGCTGAAATGTACAGCTTTCACATCGACCGCTCACCACACCCACATGGAAGGTGCTCGACAATGCGACACAATATCGCCGAGTGTGTTTACTGCCGCGAAAAGCCTACGTATTCATGAAATATTGCTATCAAATCTTCATTTCGCTGATGACATCGTCGTATTTTACTACTAGTGAAGGAAAGACGGTGCTCAATGAACTCCTTAAAGCGGCAAAAAACATTGGGCTGAGCATGAATGGGAAGAAGATCCAGTTCATCAAAACCCATAGCTAGAATTTGAATAAATTAAACTGTATGGTTCTCTGATTACAGAGACAACCTCCTAGGTGTATCTGAAGCGTGGACATGAGAAGCAGAATTGGACAGAAGAAGGAGATCAGCATAGGCGGCACTCGAGCTTCTCAAAAAAGCCACCTACCGACTAACCGACCCAAAACTCCACGTTCACATTCTCAATTCAGAAGTCTCCAATCGCTATGTTAAGCACAGAAACGTGAGCTGTTACCATATCGTGAAATCTGTACACCACCCACTTAGCGCTTGAACAGTGTCTTCCTAAATTTAACCAGCCGAAACCTATCCCATAGCGAAACACAGATGGCCCTGTGGCAAAAAACGATTCCACGTGTGTGTCGCAGTTACGCCTCCAACTACTACTCCACACGCGTGTTCACATATATTTCACATACTTCAGTGTTTCTTTTATTGCTATCATTGCCCTACGTCTGTCATCCATAAAGATTCTCGGGCCTATGCGTAGCTTCACTTGCTGTTTTAGGGATTTTGCGTTTCTAATCTTTAGCATAGGCAATTACAGCTTTTTTGAGTGGGGTGCTTCGCAGACATATTTGGTTCCTATTTCTCGATTCAGGATTAGTGGGGAAGCGTCTATCCATCTCATGGCATCTCTAACACTGCGTTTCTCTGCCCTAAACTTGAGCTTTTGCCAGATATGATTATGACTCGTTTATTTATTATGCTGCAACTATCGAGCAAAGCTTTGTGGGTATAATTATGT